AATTTAAAACGGAAATTGATAGTTTGTACAGTAAGAAAAGTTGTAACTAAGGGCTCCACGGCAAACATGTAAAACAGTAACTAGCTTTTTAATCGTAAATCTTTACTTTTAAATATTTTTAGGCAATCGACTGATGTTTTTACCGTGGCAAAATAAAGAAGCTTCCTTCCTTCCTTCCTTCCTTGTTTGGGCTTGTTTGGTTTGGACCACTGTTTTGACATCGCCCCTAAAAAGCTCCTGTTCTGGTTACGTGACTCGTCTTTTTTTTTTTTTTTTTTAAGATTTAAAAATCTGGGTGAGGGGATGAAGGGGGAAGCCCCCCTCCCCTTCCCCGTTTTTTGATTTCTAAACGGTAAATAAATTTTGTTTTGTAAAAAAAATGTAATGCCGTTTTTTATATTTATCAAATCAGGCCGTTTATTTTGGTTCGGCTTTTCGGGGGCAAAAACAAAATGGCGAATTTTTGAGAATTTTTAACTCAAATTTCCCCCCCCCCTCCCCTCCCCCGCAAGAAAAATCCTGGCTAACTGGAATTACATGATATGACTATTGGTATACCTTTTTTTTTCTCGAAAATTTAGCTTTTAATACATTAGTCATTTTAGTATGTACATGGTCTTATATTTACATTGCATTGCACCATTTTCAGCTGAAACAGCCATTCAATACTCTGTCGCTCACCTAAACTCTTCTACCCACCCCTTCTGGAGAGATATCTTTTGATAGCTTATAAATGAGGATGGCGTTATAAGATTAGTGTCTTTTAAATTGAACTAATAAAATGCACAGCAAATCCCGTTATTTTTCTGAAGGAGTGAGATTTCYCTGCCCTGCATGACGCGGTTTGCGCAAGAATCGAATTACTCTTAAATATAATCGGAACAAACAAAAGTTAAATATATTGAAAAAATTATAAATGAATGAAATCCGCGCTATACGGGGCGCATTCCTACAAATTTTCTCAGCTGTTCAAAAACAAAAAACGTCACTACAGTGTGCGGTCCTATCCTCATCCAATTCGGTATGAACCCTTTATAAAGTCCAAAGACACCTTCGTGTTTCATGATCTTCAAGATACAGTCAAGTGAATTCTTATAAACAGTTGGTCGCCCCAAGTTATCTTTTGCTTGGTTCATGACACGTGTTTTCACCACATCGACAGGAGAGGTCGTGCACGCAGTAACAAAACCAGCCGTGAACGACGACACCACATGAAGTGGTGGACCTTCTTTCATAATGTGATTATTAATCAAGGTATGTTTGGTATGATCGTATGAAGGAATCTGCGTTGCTGTTAATATAGCAGCACGCTGAACAGTAGGACCAACGCCCGTCCATAATCCCCGTACACCCTCTTGTCTTAAAATCGTTGCAAACGCATGGAACGTATTTCGATATCTTGATTCTTTACCAGGGCCTACAGCTTGAAATCTTACTTTTACTAAATCAGTTGGGGTAGCGATTGCGCTTCCGATGGTACCAGATATAGCACCAGAGGTGATTTTCTTCCACAGTGGAGTATGGGCAGGATCAGTGGCACCAAGGGCAACCTTCAGAGGCTCGTAAGCACCAAGACGTATCGTACTGTAGGATGACTCGCGCAATAAAGAAGGGAAAAGCCTAGAAAAAAAATTAGCTTCATATGATTAACAGCATGAGACAATCACAACAGAGCCCTAAGCTCTATACTAGATAAAAGCCCATCGAATTAGAATTTTGAAATTAGAATCGCAGGAGGGACTGGGGAAGAAACACTATAGAACCCGAAAAGAAACCCTGAAGCACGGGAGAGAACCAACAACCAAGCAACTATATACTCACATATGACACCGAGCCCGAATAGAACCCGGGTCGCATAGGTGTGAGAGGGGGGCATCATTAGCAGCGCACACTACCGGTGCTCCCCTAAAAATAAATCAGCTCTACTAAACCATCATATAATAGATATATAGAGGTAAAATATAAAGTGTGTATAACCTGATCAGTGCGCTATACAATTTATATAAGGGCATCGAACATATAGGCTCTAGATCAATGAGCTTTCTTGAAAAGGTTTCAAATACTTCATACTAGTAGTATCACTTATAGCTGACGTACTCACCCCTTATATAATCCACGCACGCCCTCTTCCTTAAGAATCCGTATTCCCCCATTCAGAATTAAAACCATTGTAGTAACGATTTTTGAAAATGTTTTTACTCCCATGTCGAGCTCCAAGCTCGTTGTCCAACTGCATGCGGATTTTGATGACATCAATTGGATTTGTTGCTAGGTGGGTGGAATATAGGTTTATTTGTCATTACACATTTTTTTAAAGTACTCCCACTTACATAATACGTGCTCTTTGCTTGAATTGTTTTTTGTTATGAGGGGTCGGGTAGGGAGCTTTTTGGGTTGAGTATTGAATGACTTGCATCCCCTCTCCTACCCCCTAATTTTACAATTAACGAATCACTCAGACGAGCGAGTCGCAGAGTTAAATTCAATGTTTTGGTACTTTTCGCTACTAGTAGGCTATAATTTATAGAAATATATAGTAGTAGCTCATCCAATCAGAACTCAGCATTGATGATACACAGTGGCGGATCCAGAACTTTAAGAGGGGGGGTTCATTTTTGCAAATCTCGGCACAACAATAACGTTCTCTTGCATCATCATTTTTCCAATGAGGCACATCACTGGCCTAGGGGCGCTCCTGATAAGGATAACCTATCCACCAGTCCCATTTCATATTAAATCTCATGAGTAAGTACCATACTTTTATTTATTTATTCAAAAAATAAAATAAAATCCAAGGTACAAGCCGGTAGGGGGGGGGGGGTTCATTTGCACCCAATGAACCCCCCCTAAATCCGCCACAGATACATGACCACTACTAAGTTGGATTACTAGTAACTAAAAAGAAATGGAGTTTCCAAGGCCCAACATTCGTTGATTACCTGTCATACAGTCATAAACTGCCGCCCAATAAATTGAAAACTAAACATAACGAATAAATGTTTCCAAACACAGGTTTCTAATTCTTACACACGGGTTATAACCCCCTGGGGTTAAACAAACCGCCATTATGGTGGTGATAATTTTGAAGAATTTCACTTACTTGTGGCTCCACACATGTTCGATAGCCCACTAAGCGCAAATCTTGTTAGATTTTCCGACTTCTTCCTATTTATAGACATTTTTCTTAGTGAAATTAGCGCGTAGTTCGTGAAATTATAAGCTGAATGTGTAGCTACTCTGTTTACTGGCGTTATATCGCTTTCAGATATGCATAAATAATGAATGCGCGCGTGATTTTGTTAGTAACGCAATAACCTATTTTTGAGTCACGCGGCAAGAAAAATTATGGAAAATCATCAATATAATCATACATGAGTGTAAAACTTTTTTCAAACTTTGTAGTTTTATATTACATTAACTTCTTATCGGGCTTGGGTTGCCTTTGGCCACGCAACAGCTAAATATTTTAATAAATTTTCAAAAATATAAGGAGTCTAAGAACAGAAAGCAAGTCAAATCTATATGGGTCGCTACGGAGGTTATTTTCTAACACGAAAGGAGATTAAAAATAAAACAAAAGAATAAAGTTTCTTCAAACTTTCATTTCGCGTGACGAAAATATCTAAAATTTACATTTTGCGACCATCATGACCGTCATGTGTCAATCACCCTCCTCCCACCCAATGGGAATATTTGAAGAAGAATTTGATCCAATCAAAGAGAAGAAATTAGTAGATTGTCCAATCAGAAGCGAGAAAGGAAACTTCTAAGGGGGTAGCCCAGCCCTTGGGTTGTGTTCTTTGCCGAGCGCTTCATCTGCGTTAGGAGGGAGGGGAGAAAGAAAAAAATGGCAACTACAGTAGCACACAAGGAGAGTGAGGCAGAACTTTTCAGCCTCCTCAAGTCAGCAAACCTTCTCGACTACTACAGCAACTTTATCGAACAAGGCGGCGATGACATCCACCAGTTTTGCGATGCGACCGAAGAAGAGTTCAAAGAGATGGTTTGTTTGGTTGGCATGTCGGCCAAGCCGCTCCATGTGCGACGACTGCAGAAATGTTTAGTTGAGTGGAAAGCTAAGAAAGCTCGGCGTGGGGATCAAACTCCGGAGAAATCTAGCTCCTGGATAGATGGGTGGACACCAAACCAGTCACCCAATGTACCTAGGACGCCAACTGCTATCGTTACGACTCCTAGCAATGTTTCTTCTCGCAAACGAAAAGCATCGAGCGGTTCAGCTGGAAAAGAATCGACCGAGAAGCGAGTTGTCGAGCTCAAACTCCCGCCAATGGACGTCATCATTGACTGGGAAAAGCTGGACCCTGAGCGGCAGCAACTCATAAGGGAACACTCCAAGATCTATGGTCGGGATGAGAAGAAAAGAAAGAGTGATAACTTGAATTGCCACGAGCAAATGATCAACGAAGCAGCCGCTCAACTTTGTCTTCGAGATCCGACGCTTCTTGTTCGTAGAGACGAGCTGTTTACAATGGCAAGACGCGTCGTCCGAGAAAGTGGATTTACCTATGTCCATGGACATTCCAGATCTAAATTCATCAGTCCTGGCTCAGAAGAACTTATGCTCGATACATATGGTGAGTACCAAGTCTCATTTATTTGGGATTTTAGCTTGGTTGTTTTATCCAAGGTTTTGCTGTGTGTTGCTTCATCTTTCCAAACTCAGCAATCTCAAAGATCGACCAATTTCCAATGCTCCACACAGTTTGATCGCTGTAATTTTTTTCATACAAAGAAATAACCCTTATTTTACTATGAATTTGACAATTTTCGTAGCTCAGAATGCCTAGAATGTAGTACGTTTGAGTGAGTGTCAGATTTCAGCCTGGTATTTCATGTCTGTAGTACTAAATTCATCACGTGTATAATTCAATGTGGTTGAAGTGTCACTTTCACAACGTTAGTTTCAAATTTATAAGGAAAGATATTGAATGATATCTATTTTTGACCCCAAGTTTTAAATATCTGTTGATTTATTCGAGAAGTTTATTTTGTAATTCAATTATGTTAATTGTGTTTGGATTTTGATGTACAGTTGTTTGTTTACATGTATATACAAAACGCAGGGGTAGATCTAAGGGGTGGTTTGAGGGTTTGACCGAACTCCCTAAACCACAAATTACAGTCAAACAAGCTCACACGTTGACCCCTAGATTCGATTAATGAAATCATTAGTCAATTATTCCTTTTACACGTACGAACCAGAATAATGCAATATTGCAATATTCAAATGAAAATTCAGTTCATTATTCGACTCGTGATTAAGAAGGTAAATCATCTAAATTACAGATACCTTTGAGCAGAAGTCGCTCTCTTATTTCATAAGCATACACACTAGGTTTTGTAATTTCCATGCCTCAATTACTTGGAGGATAAATTTTGTAGGGAACGCTCCCGCCTTGAGCAAAATGGAGACACAGTTCCATGTCGTCGATAATGTTGAAGTATTTTCTGGACTCCCCGACTAGAAATTTTCAGTTGTCACGAAATTGCTTTATTGGACAATCTGCTATTGCTGAGATTAACAATTTCCTGTCGAATAATATCAGGTTAAGGCTTTCCCGGCACATAAACACAGCCAAGACTATTTCTGGCCGCCATGTTTTCTTGGTCTTCCGGCTGTGTTAGCACTGATAAACCAATCAAAATGTTGTATATTGAATTTAAAGTTGATTGGAATTTTCATATCTTCATTTTCGACGTTGTAAATTTCAACTGAATAATGAAATCAAAATTCGAAAATTCAAATCATTAATCGACTCTAGGGGTCAACGGGTGAGCTTGTTTGACTGTAACCCCCTAAATGGAAAATACAAACCCCCTTTTTAGGCCATCTATATACCTACATTAAAATGGTTAGTGATTATTTGCATTTTCTTTCATTTTCCAATTTTCTGTTTTTAAAGTAAATTCACATGTAAAATGATTAATAATGGTAATTGAACTGAGTGGAGTGCAATTTGGTCTGAAATCAAACGCGCGATTACAAAATCACACGACCGCATAGCTGGAGTGTGATTTGTAATTGCAAGTTTGATTTCAGACCAAAATTGCACGACACAAAGTTCAATTACCACTTAATCATATCCTTTTTGTAATCATACATAAGAAATAGGCACAATAAAGAGTGCAGAATAATCAGTTTAATGTAGTAGAAGAACTAAATGCGAACAAAAAAAGACATCTAAAAAAACTTTTTTTTTTGTTTTGTTTTGTTTTATTGTTAAAAAAAAATTTCTTTAGAATTCGATTAAGAGCTCCTAAGGATGCGATTGGGAATTAATCGCACTCCTTTGAACCAATCAGATTGCAGGATTTGGTAGTGATTACAAAAAGGATGTGATTAAGATATAACATGCACTCTGATTGGCTAGAGAGTCTGTTTAAATATSACGATATGAACACTTAAATTTGCATGCTTTGAAGCTTCTGCAGAGAGTGTGGTCCATTAAATTTAGTAAGTTGCAGGGCTTGAAATAATGGCCAATCAGTTCAATGCCATTCATGATTACAGGCCAAATTAGTTTTAGCTCAGTCATATCTCTTTTTCAGTTAAACGTTACTGGTCAAAATGACCGGCAAGGCAAATATTTGACTGGACAAGTCAGAGTTCTGGTCAGACATTGTCCGATGTCCAGCCATTATTTTAAGCCCTGAGTTGTCAAAAATGGAAGATGAAACAAATTTTTCCAAATTTGGACATATATTTTTAACACTTATCTTGAAAATTAACGCTAAGATCTGACGTTTCAGAGTCATCTTGACTCCATTATCAAAGTTTAATAACCAAAGTTTCGTCTGTTCATATGTTGATTAATCCAATGTAGCCTTAACCTCATGTCTGGTCATTGAGCAGCTATCATACTTTTTGGTTACATTTAGCTAGCACAACTATAACGAGGGGATGATTTTTAAGGATCATACATGAAAACTGTTGGATTATGTTGGCAAATTTAAAAAATATGTATTCAATGTTATTCTGCAATCTGCCTGGTGAGCAACAACACTAATCTTGAAGGAGTCTCTGTGGTTGAGTGAGGCATGGGTGGGCTTATTACTAATGAGATAAAAAATAAAGATAGATCTTGTTTTATATTTTGTTTAACTCGCATGTCCATTATTTTGGAGTTCTCATGTGACATCAGTTTCTAGGTCTGTTCTTTTCTAAAGATTTCATGAGTTGGTGGGCGATGACCTTTTAAACATGCATTCTGTTTTCCACTTGCTTGTCTTGTTCATATCAATTCAGTTGCAATATGCAACAATATCATTAGTAGTGTCATTCAAACTTTAGCAATTTTTATTACAACATTGAATTCATTGTATTATCTAGTTTATATTTTAATGTTTTCTTTCTGCTTTCATTTTAGTCCAGGACCTCACTGAAAAGCACTTTGGTGAGAGAGCCTTCCTGGCTATAAATACTATTTTTGTTAGCAATGCTTTGTAAGGAAAACCCCTAACTTATATTGCATAGAACCTTGTGATTTCATTATTTGAGAGCTTTTAAATAGAAGCTTGACAAAGTTATTTAAAACTTTTTAGAAAAGCTTTTTGAATCTCACAAGAAATAATCTATACTACCCAATTCACTCGACTGTTAGCACTGAACCTTAGCACCACCAAAATAAAGATTGACCGCATTTGGAATTTCGGCTAACTCATGTGACCAATTGGAGAGCTCACATAAGTAAATTAACCAAAAATTCAAACCACAATCGATTTATCAATGGGCAGTTCTAACAGTCAAGTGATTTCGGCAGTAAATTTGACTCTCATCGTTACTGAGTCTAGAAATTTCTTTAGGTAAACGACCTCATCAATCTCAAGTGAATAAACACAAAAGGATAGAAAGGCTAACAGAAATTGATAACCTCCTGCAGAAGAACAAGGAATTACAAGAAGACATTTTGAGAAAGATTGAGGAATCAAGAACCTTGTTAAATGGAACAGAGGTAAAAGATTAGTATTTTATGCAGTTTCAAATGTCAGGATATTGCTCTAATTTATTCTGAATGAATATAAAATTTCTCCAGTGTTTGTTAATTCAACACTGCCCTGCAACCCTTACTCCTCTCCCACACCAAAAGATAATCCCACTTATAATAATTTGTTTTTATCTTGTTGATGTCAAAAACTTTTATGAATAAGCTTCTTGGGAATCAGGATGGATGTACTGATGAGTATATTTATTGTCTCACCCTTCATAGATAGGTTTTACAATGCATTTGATACGTAGGCCAACTTCAGTAGGCAAAACTTATATGTACGTAGGCAAACCTCAGTAGGTGAAACAATGCATAGGTGAAACTATCGTAATTCATTCAAATGACCATATCTCAGCTGACATTTGACCAATTCTCGTCAAGATTGGTATGCAAACAACTTATTTGATTGTCTATAGAAATTAGAGATCAAAAATAATTAACGTCAAAATTCATTTTTTCCTGACATCACACTTGAGTGCTCTATCTGAAATGACTAAATTTATTGGTAATGAATTTTGTCCTTATTGATTGAATTCTAGGTCAATAGTTATCAAGCCGAACTGAGCAAACTTCAAAATGATCAAGTTTCACTACAAATAGAACAGAAAGATTTGCGCAAGAAGCAGCGTCGGTCAGATCGGTATTACAGCAACAAGGAACCCAAAGATAGTGATTCTGGAGAGGGTGAAAATGCAGATGGGGATAGACAAGAGGAGGTTCAGGAGGGTGCTGGTGTTCATGGAAGTGGAGTCGAGGAAGGTATAGATCTGTTTTGAAATTCCCCAGCCCTATCATGGCTTGAACTATCATACTACTTAAATCACTAAACTCTAAACACCACCAAAATAGTGATATCTCACATTATGCTGGTAGTCAACTATTAACGCTGCTAAAGTAATGGTCTATTGATTTTTGAATTTTCTTTAACTCACATGATATTTCAAAAATGTTCAATGTTGAAGCTTTCAAAATGGGGAGTAATTGAAATTCAAAAAGTGATCAATAATTCTTAGCAATGTTTAGTGAGTTTAGTAGCAATAGCCAGTCAACAGACGACCTGAAGCCAAAATTGGCACTAGTCTGGCTAAATAACTCCTAGGCCAGTCTTGATCACCATGCCATCACATTGACTGATCATACAAATTTGAAGTGGCTGGTCATCGGTCATTTTTTTCCCCTTTCTATCAAGCATTTTTGTTATGGGTAAATTGGTAACCTAATTTTACAATTTTCTTTGAATTTCTCAGCTTTTGTTGAAAGAAGTGAAGTACAAAATGCTTCTCATGCTCATACTCAAGCCATGGCAGTTCAACAGCAGCAGCAACCAGCTGCAGTTGTCACAGAAATCTTACAGCCAGCTTCAGGTATGTTCTTAAATCTACTTATATTTTACAACCATCACACATGCTGTAGCAGTCCGACCACCATTAGAGCAGTTTCTGTATGACTGTGAAAACCTCACAATACAAACATGGTTGTGACACGGCTCATCATTAGCTAAACATTTTCTTGCAAAAATCTCTACAGATAATACAGCATCAACAACATCAGTAACAGAGGATGAATCTTCTGTGAGAGCTTTGTACAGTGCTTTTATGCCAAACCAGATGACAAATGAAGAACATCATCAAGCAGCCGCAGCAGCTCATGCCGCAAACATGGCATCCTTTCAGGCAGCTGCCAGGGGTCAAGTACAAGGCTACGCCATTGGTACCACTGCTATAACAGACCCAACGATCAATGCTCTATTAAGCTTATCTGCAAAGGATAAGACCATGGTGCAAGGAGTTCACAACATGGATGGGGTAGGTATGACAGTTCCTGTGACAGCTACCCCAGGTACACATTCTACTGTCTTTTCATCGCCGAACATAACTGTTGTCATGCCGACTGGACATACTCTTCCATCCAACATGCAAGGATGGAGATAGATGACTTTAAGTAACATCCAAATGTATTACATTTTTGATTTAGCTCGCTGACAATGGAGCAATTTAGCTTAGGTATGATAGTTTCACATTACATTAGAAATTACATTTCAAAAAAACAATGTCGTGCTCAAACTAAATTGGTCTGCTCTTGGTAAGCATGCATGCTTTCACTTTTTTTTTTGCGTGAAATGTTACGTATTATTCAAATTTCTTCGCTTGCTTATTACATGTACATACAGTGATGTGAAATAGACAGAAAAACTCATTTTTATTCCTCAACTCTTGGTACAGAGTTTTAAAATTGATTTAGGTGTTGAAGCAAACTGATTTTTTTGAACAAGATTCAAAAGTTAAAATTGATGGAAAATGTGTAGTATAGACGTGGTATACTCTGATTGGCATTTGAGAGACAGGAAGAACTATGTTGGACTAGTGATATCACCATTGCTGTGCCAGGGTTTCCCTAGGTTTCTACTTCGAAATTATCACAGTAGTCATAATCTAAACCATTATAAAGATGGCTGATCGAGATAGATAGGGTTCTACTGTAAACCAAGAAGTCTCCTGCCAACATAAGAGAATCTGCTCTATACTATTCTTTGCCATGTAATATTTTATCAATATTTCTCATAAAACTCAGCTGTATGTATTCACAATCAAAACATTGTACATAGAAAACTATAACTTGATCTTCCAGCAATATTCAAGAATTATTAAGGAAGAAAAAATTGGCGAATGGATGAATATGATTTGGTCTAGTCTCAAAAAGTTAGAGGCTGCTAAGTATCAGTTAACATCATCTAGAATTTAAGACGCAAGTGATATTACAGATTGTTGAAAGTTAAACCATATTGATATTACATTAATAATGATATTGACATATTTCGTAATTTAAACCATACTGTTGCCATGGAAGCAAAGCACATCCAACATCCTTTATCCATTTCCATGTCATGTCATTGCAGTCTGGCATATTGGCCATATTTGATGAAAGCTTTTTTCATTATATAGCTTTTAAGTGTGCTGTTAATCGGAAAAACGTCTGAGTTCTGGGTCCAATCAAATGAAGAGTAGTCATGTCATGATATGATTTGTTGTCCAAAAGTTCTAATTATTTGTGGAGCTTAAATCAAGAACATTTTCCACTATATTTTAATAGTTTCTATGAGTAGTTGGACTCGAAAATATGTCATAATGTAAAAGCTCTAAACCTGCAATGTGAACATTGCATTTCAGACTCTTAGGAATGACTACAAACTGCCAGTTTCTTATAAATTCTGTGACTGCTTAGTTGACTTTGAACATCATTCACTTGGTTTGTGCTTTGCTACTAGAGGCAATTCTTATGAACATTGAGAGAAAAAACTTTGGATGTCTATAATAGTCTAGTACTTGTCAAAAAACCCAGCCATATTTGATTTTGTGAAAGCTTGTTTAGCACGTATTAGACCTGATTGCATACCATATATTCGTGAACTTTGTAAGAAATTGCACAAGTTAGTAAGTTCAGTAGACTGTAGACCTACAAAACTTTGCACTAATTTGTAAAGTTTATTTGTTAGTTAACATTTTTACAGACATACGGTATGCACTCTATTGGTCTCAAAACAACGTTTTGTGAAATTATTTCCCAGGCCAAGGGTGACTTGGGGGAGACTGACTTTGCTTCATTTTACAGAAACACCAATTGGTCTCCTCAAGTGATTTGGTCTAAATTGGTTTTATGAACTTCACATTATTACATTGTTATCCAAAAATAGTGGCTCCAACATTTCTTTTTAACATTATGTAAAGACTTATGAAAGAAAAAATAATAAAGTATAGATATAAGAATCATGAATAGTAGTTTACTTCTTTTAATAGATTGGTGTTTAGGGGATGTTGGTTCTGACCTTGGTTCTCATAGGGGGGTTTAAATTAGCAATCGGGTATCGATATTTAAATGTACTCAAATATTACTTTGGTATCTTTTAGGGTGCTGAACAAGAAAATCCTCCTAACCACCCTATTTAATATAGATAAGAAGACAAGCCCACTTAGCTATTCATCATGAAAAAAATACACAATTTTGATAATCATTTATGTTTACTTAGGGAACTTTCCATCAGGTCTAACCACCCGCTTTAGAACTGGTTAGCTAATAGACCTCTTCTTTGTTTGAGCTGTATTCATATTCATGTGTCTTCTCATGTGCAATCGAGCGCAAACCTTAAACAAAGAAATGATGCTCTAGGGAATGACGTGGTCTGAAATGGGAAAACATTACATCAGAGCCGAAGAGGTCTATTGGTTAGCCAAGGTCTCAAAGCTAATGAGAACTGACACGTACCATTTGAGAACTGGTCAGTTCAAGCCATGCCAATTTTTTAAAAACTTTTGATATCTTACAAGGGATATTTTGGAATATTTCCAAAAAGCTTCTTCAATACTTTAACTTGGAAGTACCTCTGAAAGCACAATCATATCTCTTCTAACAGGTGCAGATCCAGGATTTTTTTAGGGGGGGGGGAGACACCATCCAGGATCTTTTAAGGAGGGGGTGCACCCTTGGCTTAAAAACTTAAACACCAATAAGAAGTAGATATCAGCTCATCTAGGGGGGAGGGGGTGTGCTTTCCCTACACCCCTCCCCTAGATCCACCTCTGTCTAATGACTCGGAATGAAAAGAAGTATAAAAATTCCCATTTTGCTTTAACTTTATTTATTCAAGATTTCTTGGGGATAAATATTATTCTGTTAAACTACAGTGTATAAATTTAGTCTGCTGTAACTTTGGTTACATCTACAAAAAATTCCCATTTTGCTTTTAATTTATTTATTTAAGATTTTTTGGGGATAAATATTATTCTGTTAAACTACAGTGCATAAATTTAGTCTGCTGTAACTTTGGTTACATCTGGAAAAACTTCAGGTATGGATGATCCAAGTTCAAATATTGACAAAAGATGAATCAATACTTGGAAAGTGTTGAAAGAATCCCTGAAAAGTAAAAAGTAAAATATTAATGCCACGGATAAAGTATAATGCTAGTATGGTCTACAGCCAAACTTGACATGCATGCGTGGTCATACAGGGTTCGTGCAGAGGTATCCACTTAACAATCAAGGACTATTCAAGGAGTGTACAAGGACCCAAAAATGAATTTTCAAGGAGTATGTTCAGCTAACTATACCAAGGTTTTACACTTTGGTTGCACATGGCCGACTTTCAGATTTTCCAATCTTTCTGACTAGATCTATTTCAGAACCACGCAAGTAATGATCAAAGCAAAAATTCAAGGAGTTTCGCTAACATAAGTCTGGATGAAGTACAAGGCATCATCGCTGTACCTTGAACAGATGAGAACACTGGTAAATACTGGAAGTACAGCACATCTCTCTGATGGAATGCATTGCCAGTTGTGGTCCTCCGATATCTAAAAAAATTATGATAATAAGACTGTGCGTTAGGGGATGTTCATAATTTATCAATTTCTGGGACGAAGGGAGAGGTAAGCCAGTAATTGAGTTGTACAATTTTAGTTCAAAATATTTATTTCCCAGGCATCCCTCAAAGCCGCAGAGCATATAATAGAATATAATAGTCAAAAGTGTGAAGTTTGAGGGTCGAGATTGCAAATTTAAGGGATATTAGCTAAAAAGTGGGGATTATAAAATCCCCTTAGCCAGTCTCTCTCTGTACTTGCTGACCCAAAGTGTGAGATTCATGGTAAAACTGGGTATCAACTTACCAACAGTTCTCATTCCAAGCTTAGCTGACAGAATAGGTCCAATGGTAGAACCACAAGTAGAATCATTTCTCACGCACACTTCCTGTATCCAACAATAAGAGAAATCACGCAAATTGTTAAAATGTGCAGCAACAATGGGATTGAAATTCTATAAGTTGACAGTTGGTCCCAGAAACGATGTCTTGAATGTCAAAGGCACAGGGGCAGTCTAAAGTCTATATTTTCTGTTGAACTCGAAAGTCCATTACTCTCATGACCAGCCACTTTACATATAAGTCTGAAAGCCTTACTAGTAAGTATGGAAGCAAGAGAATAATATAGCTCTCAGACCAGTAAGAAAAATGGCTGTTGAGGAGGCTAGTAGTTCATATACACTTTATAGTCTATAATAGGCTTATGATGTTTTGGAATCACAAACAGTATGGGCTAGTAGATTACTCTGCTTGCAGGTACACTATAAATTGAAAGACTTATGACAAGTCCATAGTATCCAAAATTAGGATTGTGTTAAGAACACTTTGAATTTAAACTATCTTTTTACATTTTCGGCATTTTCAAGACATTTTGTGGCAGTATAAAAATGCACTGACTATTGGATACAGGTATTAAACCATAGTCCATCTAGCTAGCATTTCAGGTGCAATAATTAAAAAAAGCTTCATAATATTATAATGCTGCAATAGTTTCTGACCTGCAATGGTATGTCCATCTTCTCTGCTACTAGTCTCAAAACACTTGCAGTAACTGCTGTGGTGGCATATTTCTGATTGGCATTGAACTTCAACACCGGACCCTAACCAGGGAAAGAGGATTACTATCATTATCATTTTTGAAGTGTGTCAGAAGTACTCTTCACTATTTGTTAGGGGGAAGGAAGGGGGGAGGTGAAAAAAGGGGTGTATGGGGGAAGAGGCTGAAACCTTTGCTGAAAATCTTTGCATCCTCATTATAGGAGGTTACTGACAGGTTGTGGTGAGCAGGTTGCTGCATGATTTTGCATTATTTTTTTCCAAATTGAGGAATTTATAAATTGTTTTTACTTTTTGAAATTCTTTTTGTCTCTTCCTCAAACTCTTAGACTTTCATGTGCTAGCCTGTTGTGGTCCAATTCCCATCCAGACCAACTTAACACTCAAGGTCTTAACCGAGGAGAACTGACCGAGAAGAAAGTGCTGTCTTTAATTGTAATATTAAATCTGCAAATGGTTAGACTTTCAAGTGGCTCGGATGACCACTTTCAGTCCTATCCATCCACATTTCATTTATTACTAACCAATATTGGAGGGAAGTAAAAGAACAGTACTTGATGAGACTTTACTTTAATGCACTTTTTACCAACCTTATGAAGCTCTGGCCTGTGGTTCTCTTCATGCTTTTCCCTTAATAGAAATGAGAAACGACATTTGTATCAATACCAATATAATAATGCATGACTTCTTTTAGTACTTGCGTGTTGTTGTGGTTGGATGCTTTCCCCAAAAGCAATGGGAAGGAAGCCCTTTCAATTTTGGATACGTGCAGTAAGTTAGTACTCATTTTAAAAAAAAGCTTTCCTTCATATGGACCTTTAGTCATGCAGCAGCCATGTTGAATAGAACGACAGATTTACCCATCCTGGCCACACATTCAAGTGTTTCAGGACGAGGTTAATGCATGCGGTTAAACGAAGGCAATAGTCATGGTGCTGAGAAGATCCATAAAAAAAGCATATGAAACACATAGGTGGCTTGATAGGCTTTTATATAGGTCATGAAACAATGAGTAATGGAATTTTATGGCTGAAACACTGATCAATCAATCCCCTACTCACACTCTACTCACATCAAAGACCATAAAAGATTGATTTTCTTAGGATTACTGATCACATGTTATGTTACCTTAGCAACCCTACATCAAAGCTACTGAAGGCCGTAGTAAATTGTTTTCATTGAAATGGATCATTTTTTTATAAACTTTGTAGTATCTAATTTAATTTAATAGTCTTTCACATAACAAGAAAGTAATATAGATTCTGTACACCAAAATCAAAAATAATTAAGGTGAAATCTCGATTTTGCTGAATATATAATCCCAAAATACCGAATTTGTTTGTATTGTCAATCACTTTTAATAATTATGAAAATCTGTCTTATACGGCACAGTTTTTGAGTTTCATGTCAAAAAGATGACATGTGTGACAAACCTTTTCATGATGTCATTGAAATAAAAACTCTTGAAGTTGCAGAATCAAACATGGTCATGCTTCCTGGCCATAAATCTCTACAGAGCAAATTTAACTCAGTACTTACGAGTAGTTAGGATGAACAGCATGAGCTTGGTCAGCACTCACAAGAAAAGACTTGGGTATGGCCTCCTCAAAACTTGCTGAACCTCCTCCTATTCACATAATGGAAATGCATTTCACAAGAGCCACGACATCATCAACATAATAATAGTGTTCTTTTTTACTATGACTAAGACAACTTCATAATAATGCAGCTTATGTGTCGTCATCCCCCATCAACAAACAGATCTCATAGTACTGTGAAAAATTCATAGGGCATGTGCTGATGCCATTTCCTTAACTGTTCCTGGTACAAGCATTCTGATTAGATAAACAATACTCATGCACTACAATTGGTGGTTCAAAGGATGTTGTATATAGCTATTTCAAAAAACGTTTAGTAAAAAAATTGATGCATATTGCATGTTGCATATGGGATGTTGCATGTGGCATAGTAACCTAGCCCAAACTGCACTATGGGTGATGTGAATACAATCAACGAAAGGTTACAATAATATAAACTTTTCCTAAACTCTGTCTGCACATTTTTCTGGCATAATTATTTCTTCTGTGCTGGCATTATTTTAAGATGATGAATATAATACCCTCCAAGCTTAAGTAAGCGACATGCAACACTCAACAAGCAAGTGGCAGCATGTGACATGCAAAGAATTCTGAATTCATATGAAACCTTCACCAACCTTTTACGAAATGATAAGCTGTATGCTATGATAGCACCTTGCCATTTCACGTGTGTGATGCTATTTCACTGTCATTTAATTTTTGAATATACAGCCTGTACATGAAATCTACTCTTGACTATCATTTTTTATAAGCTTCAAAAAGCTTGAGTCAGTAGACTTTTTTTGGATTGATAGAAGCCAAATCATATCAGATCCCTAGGAGCCATCCATTTGAGAATGCAGAAATGAGAAAATCATTGATTATGCACATTAGTGATTACCAGCGGCAAGTCTTCTCAGAATGATTTCTGTGAGCATTGATCCTGCACCATGAGCACTTACAGAACCAACCTATCCAAATAAGAAAATATTCAAGACCAATTGTTATGAGCAGCAGACCACATCAGTAAAAAACACAGAAGAAAATTAGTGAGGAAATATAAAGTTTGAGCTGCGTCTGTGTATAAAGGATAAAATTAATATACATGATAGGGATTATATAGGTTACTTGGACACTGTGTGATAGAAAAGGTATGCTTACACAACATATTTTAGATGTTAGTTCTTCGATCATCAAAGTAAAGAAGGCGAAAACACAATTTGTGTAATCTCACCTCTTCATTGTCATACAGATTTATGAGCCGTATGTTAGGATCAGTATTGATCGTAGGCCCCTCTAATGACAAGATCAATCCCTAAAACAAAAACAAAACAGGGTTAACATTAACGATAATTTAATAATATTGATTCTCCAGTCAATGATTTTGCAACTGCATAAATTGGTTTCACTGGCTGAAATGCCCTGACCTTGATCTACGATTAGCTATAGTGATAATCRAAACAGCGGTATGCATCAAATGAAAAAAGGAGGATATTGGTTGAACCATTGAGAAATGTGCAGGGTTATCATTAAGGATGGGAGATGTGAGAATGCTTCTGTAACTGAGCAGGATTCTCTGGCTTAGACTACCATTAATAGCTTAGTACTAATTGGTAAAAAAATATTCACTTGGTCCCGAGAACTCTCAGCCTGTTCATGATCTTTTCCTATTATTTCCTATTATTTTTCTCTTATTATTTCATTTCGTTTTCAAAACTTTATGAAAACCCTGTTCATATGGCTAGTGTCACAAGCCAAAACCCCTGTTCAATAGGACAGGATAATACATTTATCATGTTGAGTTCACATGGTATCAGGGATTGGCTGAGGGCTCATGACCAATCAGAATTGAGATACAGAGTAAAATGTATAATAATATATATTAATTGGAGAATAAATGAACTGACCTCTAAAGCAGCAAAAGCATTGACCAGATTATCAAGCCTTGGAGAAAAGATAAATTCCTCCAAGGGTCCACCCAGTACCTGAAGATAGCAGACAAAGAAGAAATCACTTGAAGGATTGATATATAATAAAGCTAGTAAACAAGGGTGAGTAATTGCGTAATTATGACCAGCCGACAGGTGTTGGTCGACAACCACCAAACTGTAGACCACGTGTTGGATGTAGCATTAGAGAAGCATTGGATGACTATCAGCCATGATGCATCGCAAACACTTGAATACTTTTTTGAGTGTCGCTGTTGGCTGTGATGCACAGACAACTCTCAGTAAATTAAGGTGCAGATCCAGGAATTTTAGAAGTGGGGTCACTTTTATGAAGGTTTTACCAGGAATTAGAGGAAAAAAGGGTTACTAACTATGACTGCTACTAACAATAAACTGAGAAATTTGAGCAAAACGGGGGTGAGTAGTCTCCACTTTTACCCCACCCCCCCCCCACTCCCTTGTGAATTCAAAATTCCTCTGTGGGTGGGGTATGGATAGTTTCTGAAACTATATACTATCAAAACATTGGAATGACATTATAATGATGAGCGCACACACACTAAATTCATGCGTAGAGAGGATGTGCATGAACAATGTGCATGAACAATGCCTATTAACAGTCCAAGTGGGCTCTCTGCTATAAGCACTAAAAGCAACTTATCTTACAGCAGGTTGGGTATCTGCAAGGCAGAGGTCAAAGTCAACCACTTGATCTGGGTTGCACTCAAATCCCAAATTGTCCATGATGAGCTTCATCAGAAGTGAGTGATGGGAGTCAGCCTAAAAAAGGAAAATAAAATGGATATGAAATAAAAAGATATGTATTTAAATATCAATGGTTTACATTAGAGGTCTTCTGTTTTATTTGACATTTAGGGTTGATATCAGTGTGATAAAGCCATGAATAAGCCGTGTGTAATAAACAAATTAGGTATTACATGTTAATCATTTTTATTAACTTGTTTTCCATAATATAATGTATATATTTAGGCACTGCCTAAAAGCGGAGCTCCCAATAGCACAGGGAGCCCAATATAGATAAAACTGAAAGATGAAAATGAAATTGGGGGAAAAAAAATTTTTCCACAATTTCCACAACCAACATGTACACAACCCACCACCAACCACCCCAGAATTTTTTGCCCTGAATGTTTGCCACACACACATTATTGTAGTACATTACACTCAACTCACATTGCGATTTTTATTGACAGACATAAAAGAGGATGCATCCTTATTTCATGTTACAAATTCACTCACTTTAGTTTTTGGCTTTGGCTCCTTGTCTTGGTCAGAGCCGGAGGTTTCGTCAGATGTATCTTTATTCAGTTGTTCTTGAAAAGTGGTGGCCAGGATTGGTACTCTGAAATCATAAAAGTAAAATACAATTTTCAGCATTTTTGAAGGGAACAAAATTTGTCCTGCATTAATTATGGGTCTGTGCTATGAGGCAAACATCCATGCCATGGACCAACTCCATCTCCCTGGGAGCCAATTTGATTGCTCTATTTTTAACTGGACCTGTTGGTAATAATTATGGCCATAGCCACTATGAGGTAAGCGAGGCAGTTGCCTCAGTAAAATGTCACGAAAGCCCTTCATAACTCTGGAAATCACATTTCTGAGGGTTTCAATTTCAAAACTTTCCAGAGGTGCCCCTAGAATCCCCCTATTTGCTCCCGGCTTTGCCAACATTTAGTTCTGGCTACGGCTCTAATAATGTGTAATAAAAGTCTATTGCAATCTGATCTGCCGAAAACTTATGTTAAGTGCAAAAGATGAAATACAAAGGTAAATAATCAATCATCATGTTTGCTAAACTGTTGTCAAAACTTGGAAACTGGCCAATCAGATTGACTATTAATCTCATCTGGATGAGCTAGCAATATAGAAACATCAATAACTCTCTCATCTGTACAGTCGTAATTAAAGCATATCCCCAAACCAAAGAACGAAACAGGGAGCAGTATAAGGTATTAGTTTGACTGTATTATAGATGAAAATGGACAAAAACTGGAATATAACACTATGAAAATAAAATGATGTCAACTTTTCTTACAAGTGAGTCTCTTTATTGGGAGAGAATTTATCATTCATCTCTCTCTGTAGATGGATTGCCAAGTGCGGTATTCRCAGGATGGGTTTGTTGACATTAACAAGGTGGTGCTCTACCTTATCCCCTCTCTGAAATATTTATCAAATTTAAAAACATCAACCAATTGAAGACAATGATATTTCAATTAATAAAATAAAAGCATGAATGAATGAATGAATGAATGGATGGATGGATGGATGGATGGATGGATGGATGG